ACAAAGCTACCATGCAAAACACCTTGTGGGTGTCCTGTTCCCCTGACTCTTTACAACGTTCTGACTCAATCATTCATCATACAAACTTTCAGGACCCGATCCTACCACACGATGCCTTTGGCTCCCACTAAGCTCTCAAGCTGGAAAACAATGCACGGTGTCCTCCCTAAGTTTGCTTAGGGCTTAAATGAGTGACCACCACTCAGACCTTATGGGCTACATCTCTCTTCACTAAACGTCAACAGGGTTTGAAATAGTAGTTACCTCTTGGAATAATTTCTTCAACAAAATTGTTCTTGTTCAGCATACTTTATTAAACATTGGACACCTATGTTATGGAAACAGCTTTATTTCCAGGTGTACACACGCGAGCTAACTCATTATATGGCGCATACAGCTCAGTCAACGACAGAAATCCACCAAGCTCACTGACAGAGGTGACCAAGTCCACTTACCTCAAGAGCTTTGAAAAAATACTCCGAGCTCCCGGAAGACTTTATGAACTTCACAAAAAACGGTTCCTTGCCACCTCTCATCCTTTAACGGAGAAGCAAAACCCAGTGAGCGCCCCGACATTCCTGCCGCACCATGGAAGCCCTCGGGCCCCTCCCCGCCCACGGCCGCCCGGCCTCGGCGCCTACTTCTGACGGGTACGGAGGGCGGGGCAGGCTTGGGCTCACCGGGAGGCCCCTCCTCAGCGGGCCCCAAGGCACCCGGGGCCCCCTGCTGGGCAGAGGTGCCCCGGCGCTCGGTGCCCCACAGCCCCACGCGGCTGGCACCCCCAACGCCACCGCCGACCACAGCCGCCGCCACGGGCGGGAAAGCGGGGATGCTCGCACTGCGCAGGCGCGGGGCGGGGCCGGCACGGCGGGGGCGGAGCGGAGGGCGGGCCTTCGCAGTGGGGGCGGGGGCGTGGGCGGGGCTTTCGCGGAGTTACCCCCGGCTGGGGCGGGGCCGGAGAGGAAGAGGGCGTGGCCTTCGGGCGGGTGGGCGGGGCGGGAGCGGCCGTTACGTGTGCGCGGTGGGAGGGGTCCCGCGAGGGTGCGTGGGGCCGAGGGGAAGGACGGGAGGGGAAAGTACCTGTGGAGTCATAGGGGGATAAGCGGTTGGAATGGGCCTTACAGATCATCTAGTTACAAGCACCCCTGCCATGGGCAGGGACACGTCCCACTAGACCAGGTTGCTCAAGGTCTTTATCCAACCTGGCCATGAACACTGCCGGGTGTGCATCCTATTCCAGTGTCTCTCCACCCTCACAGTAAAGAATTTCATCTTAGTATCTAACCTAAATGACCCCTTTTTCAATCTGTACCCATTACTCCTTCTCCTGTCGGTGCAATTCCTGACAAAGAGTCCCTCTCCAGCTTACAGCAGATACTGGAAGGTTGCTGTGAGGTCTCCATTCAACCTTCTCCAGACCGAACAGCCCCAGCTTTCTCACCCTGTCTTCACAGGGGAGTCCAGTCCCGTTATCAACTTTGTGGCCCTCCTCTGGACTTGCTCCAACAGTTCCATGTCCTTCTTATGTTGTGGACAGCAGAACGGTACTCAGTACTCCATGTGGGTTCTCAGGAGAGCAGAATAGAGGGGGCAAATCACCTCCCTCGCCCTGCTGGCCATGCTCCTTTTGATGCAACCCAGGATTTGGTTGGCTTTATGGGTCGTGAGTGCACATTGCTGGCTCATGTTGAGTTTTTCATCAACCCCCAAGTCCTTCTGCACAGGGCTGCTCTTAATCACTTCTCTGTCCAATCTGTAGGCGTGTCCGGGATTGCCACAACCCAATCCATGTGTAGGACCTTGCACTTCACTTTCATTCATGTAGCTTCCAAGCTCTGGGCAAGAGTGTCAAATGCTCTCCCTCCAGAGCAGGTAGCTGGAACCTGGAACTTGCTCAGGAACAAAAATGTCACTACTCCCACATCACACTGTAACATCTACCTGTGTCATTAAAGGGTGTCATTAAAGGGTCACCTGGCCCATGCATCCAGTGGACCTCCATTCCATTCTTAGTGGCCACAAATGTTCTCTAAGGGTTGCTGCTGTTTGCATAATACTGATAATGCCTATAGTGGGAGAAGTCATTCCGTTAGAGGATCCTCTTAAGAAAATAAATCACAGAATCAATTAGGTTGGAAAAGGCCTCCAAGATCATTGTGTCCAACCTATGACTGAACACCACTATGTCAACTAGACCATGGCATTAAGTGTCTTTCCTTAAACACCTCCAGGGACAGTGACTCCACCACCTCCCTGGGCAGTCCATTCCAGTGTCTAATCACCCCTTCTGTGAAGAAATTCTTCATAAAAAATGTTTCAAAAGAGGAAAGCACCAAAAGCTCTGATAGGACAGTGCATGTTTGTTAGATTGAAACCTTACAGTGAGGCCACATGATGGCACTGTAATCTTATGAACTGAAGTCCAGTGAACTGTGCACAAGTCCACTGTAGTTGTTAGATGTTAACCTTTCCATCTCTAAACACATCAAAATTTTTCTGTATGCTTATGTCTTTTAAAAATGCTTGATATTAGTCACCTAGGACTGGTGTGAATAGTGTGAGATAATGCTTTTCCCATCTGTAAAACAAAGGTAAACAAAACTGAATATAATGAAAAGCAAAATAACATACTTATTAGATTAGTAGTGATAAGATGGTCCTCTGTTATTTGATGATGCTGGTTTTTAGCCCACTTTTAAAACTCTGAATTTGTCCTGCCTGCTCTTTTATTGTTATTTATAGGAATTTATCTTCCTTTTTCAGTCTTCTGGGCTATTCTAAAAAGTACGGAGAAAGGGGGGGTGTTAGTGTTAGTGGTAGTGGTGATGGTAAAAGGATCAAGAAGTCAAACACACAAAAGTTAACCAACTTCAATGGATTGTATAATACAAAATATTATTACAGTTACTGGCAGAGTCCTTAATTGAATGTACCAGCAGTGCTATCAAATACTGTGTTTTCAATTATCTCCTTGAATGTGGATCACAGTTTACTGCTGAAATCTGGTTTGATTTCATTTGCTGAAATGTGGTGCCTTCTCAGTGAAGGAATAGAAACTCTTGGAAAGATGCTGATCCACTGGGCCACCAATCTCAAAGTCCCACTTCTTTCCTCTGGAGGCTGCTTGTTGCTTGGAAAGATCCATGATGTATAAGAGAACACTGCAAAGGAACAGGGCTGCTTTTTTACATTCCTCTCAGGCAACTTGTCAGCGTGTTCAAGCATGTTTGGTTGTTGCACTTTTTTCCTGCAGGGATGGTGAAGATACATACCCTGTCTGGCATCAGAGCCCTCCAGAGAAAGAAAAGGCCAAATGAAAGTTCTTGTCAAGAGCAGAATAAAACATAAAATTGTTTTCATAAAGTCATTTTAAAAGTAAAAAAAAAAAAAAAAGGCAACCACTCTGGAAGTTCCTGCATGTAGCTTCATATTTCTTTTAAAAATAAATGCATATGTCATTATATGCTGAAATTGCCCAATTTCTGCTTATGCTGATATATTTACCCATTTTAAAACCATATACAAAAGTAATTGATGCACAGGGTCTTTAAGAAGAGTATGCAGCTGAAGATCTTGTAAATTAGAAGGTGTGGTATACTTCTGTTACACTTCCCATAAAGGTATAATTCACAAGGGTTGCTTAATATGACAAAATTGAATAATTAAAAACAACTGGTCTGATAAAGTTTTGTCTATTTCACTTCCTGTTTTCACAAGCACTTGGCACTTTAAAATCTCTCTGGGACAGTTTGAAACTTTTGTTTCTTTGAAAATTATTTAAAAGGTGGTTTAGAGAAGTTGGGAATCAGAAATTACCTTGCTGGATAAGAACAGCAAACAAAACATTCACTTTTCATTTCCTTTCTCCAAATTTGTCCAATACCATATGTGTTAGGGGAAATATCAGAAATGCTAGAAAGGAGAACTTGGCCAAAATCAATTAATAGCATGATTATGGTATGGCTGAAATCAAAGCATGATTATAGTATGTTCTTAAGCACTTGAGTAGCCCCATATTTATTTTATGTTTTCTATGTATTCACATTCTTTACAGGTTCTGAACTTTACGGAGAATCAGTCATATTTAACCATCAGTTATGGAAGTTTTTACACTCCATGAAACTTGTAAATGGCAGGAAAAAAACATTGTCATAGCCCCCAAATGATACTTGCTTCTAAAACAAAAAAGAGATCCTCTATGCCCTTGAATCTGTAGAATAGGGAATATTTTTATTTATTCAGATGTTTTGATAAATGATTATAACATATACTTATATCTCTAAAAACATCTGTGTCAACCCTGTTCAGGAATCATTTTCACACCTCTAATGCTGTTGTGGTTTTGCAGCCATTGCGACTGCATTAATTTCTTATTTTAAAGTTTTTCTCTTATGTAGGCTAGAAAAATGGCAAGCAAAATCACTGCACTAAAAAGCTAAAACCCTTTTGAGTAATTTTTCTTGTTTGATCTAACCTGGTTAAAGCTCCATGTGCAATACTTTATTTTTAAAATATGGTTACCACACTGATTTTGTGATCAATGATAGGACATTATGTTAGCTTTTTTAGTATGAATAGCAGATGATTAAGAGTGCCTTCTGAAATATCAAGGTCACTCAGTTATCCATCCCTACTAGTTAGAACTATTATGAGAAAGATCTGAGGTTAGTACTCGACCATACACAAAGGAAAATACACCTTGAAATATCAAAGTCTGTTCTAAGTGTATGAAATTTTCCATACCACTCATAAAGATTCTGTATCACAGACCTCAGTAATTTAGCATTGTTTACAGAGATACACAACTAGTAAAAAATGTGACTGAGACTGACTTGAGTGAGGTATCTTGTGTAACATATGGTCAAGAGATGTTTCCAAAGAACCAGTGTAAATTTCTAACCACTAGTCCAGTTCAAAAAAACAGTTTATGAGACTGCTAGCTCAGGCCCTCAATCTTTATATGAAGATTGAGGTTTTCTTTATATGTTGTTTTTTTTATATGAAACTATAATTTTACATTCACAAAGAGAACACTTTTTTCCCTACAGAATCCCACATTTGCGTACCTGTGTAGCTAAGTTGATACATCCTTTTCATTTGTTTACAAATACCCAAATCTATGAGCAAATGCAAGCTTTGGTATGTATTCTTTGATTTATTTTTTTTTGCAGCTGCCTTAGAGCCAGTATACAGGACAGATTTTGCAGGCTTTCATGACAGACTTGATTTCACAAGAGTCAATTCCAGTCTTTCACTAGACACAATTTACAATGCAGCAGAAACCTCTTGTTCTCCAGTAGACTGTGTGTAGGTGGAGCTAGCTCTCTCAGCTGTGTCAACATAGAAAACAGGACAGTATTTAGAGAAGCGGGATGCAATCTGCTTTCGGAAAAAGCTGTGAAGATACTTCCTAAATTTTTCTCCGGCAAAGGCGTAAATCACAGGGTTGACACAACAGTGGATCATTGAGATTGTTTCTGTCACCTGGATTACTTTGTGCATTTGACTATTGCCTTCACAAGTAGTGATGGAAAACGCAATTTCAAAGTCACGCAGGAGAATGCAAATGTTGTATGGTGCCCAGAAAAAAAAGTAGATAATCATGATAATGAAAATAAGCCGGACTGCTTTATGTTTCTTCTCATTCCTACATTGCAGTAATGTCTTTATTATTTGTGTGTAGCTGCAAATCATAATTAACATTGGAATAATAAGTCCCAGAATGTTCATCTTTAAAGTCAGGAATTTCTTCCATACATCTCTGTGCTCTGAGGGATAATAAGGGCTGCAAGTGTAGCCTGAGCTTTCCTCCTGAGTTTTGTGAAATACTATCCCAGGAACAGAAGCTAAAACAGCAACAGCCCAGGTGACGATGCTGGTGAGGGTGCCGTAGGCAACTGTCCTGGCCTTTAAAGCAAACACCGCGTGCACTATGGCCAGGTACCTGTCCAGGGTCAACAGGATTATGAAAAAGATGCCACTGTAGAAGCCAAGGAGGTAGACACCTGAGAGAATTCGACACAGCGCCTCCCCAAAAATCCAGCTGTGAACTGCGTAATAAGCCCAAAAAGGGAGAGAAAATACAAACAGCAGATCGGAAATTGCCAAGTTGAGCAGGTAGATGTCAGTCATACTCTTCAACTTCTTATATTTTACCAGGATAAGGATAACAAGCATGTTGCCTGTCAGGCCAAATATCACTACCAAAGAATAAAGTGGTGGCAAAAGTTTTGCTGCCAAGTGCTTTTCTTCAGTTCCAGGACAAGGTGTGGAATCACCGTAGTCGAATTCTGTTGTATATGGCAAGTCGATGAAGTCTGTTGTATCATTTCCCATGGTGTTTTGGTCTGGAAAGGAAGACAAGGATGGTAAACCAGAGGAATCTCCAAGCTTGGCAGCGAGGAAAATGAAACGTTTTGATGTTCTCATTTGGAATGTGTTGCTGGTGAGGACACAAACATTACTACGTTCAGTGTGAAAGGGAATGATATTGCAGATCTCCCAGGAAACCCATCTATACATCTGTGAAATCACATTGTTGCATGTTGGAAGTGTTGTGTGTCACTTCCCATATGTAGACTGCCTGGTGCTTTTTTCCTTCTCAGTAGAGCCTGTCAGCTGCCTGACTCAACCAGAAGCAGTGGAATGATGAATATATTCAGAGCCATGGCTACTTTTGATTTGGGGGCTGTTGTGGGGACTGCTGTAGGGACTGAGCTTCCCTTGCAAGAAGGAGCCAGGGCCTGGGAGGTGAGTGTGCAGCAAAACTGTGAAAGCCCCCAGGCCAGTTCTGTTACAGTGGGAGGCCCTCCAGTCACCAAAGTCTTCCCCTTTCCCAAGTCCCAGGTAGGACTGTGAGCCAGGTGCAGAAGAATAGCTATCTTTGTGTAACTTGGCCTCTGAAAAGTTGAGGAGAACAGTCTTCTCACAGGTCTCTGGAGAACATGGAAGAATTCCCATGTGTCCCATGAGAAGCTGGGAAGAGGAGTGTCAGAGTGGCCAAATTGCTCCCTGGTCACTTAGTGGGGAAGTGAAATCAATGCCTTTGGTAGCCACTCAAATAGAGCTACTTGCTGTCTGATTGAAGGGCTGCTCACTCTTGCTGTGCCATCATGACTGCTTTTCTCAGGCACTTCATGGCAGAGTGGTGACTGCCCAAGGCAAGTTGATGGTTTTGAAATGAGCACCTTCCTGTCAATTTGATGCCAGTTCTTAGACAAAGGCAACAGACTGCTCCTGACACAGAAGACCAGGTAGGGCCTCTGCCCCAGCTTGCTGTGTGATCTCTGACCGCTCATGTCCCACAGCAGTGTTTGCTCCTTTCCTGAATGCACTTTTTTCAATGGTGTGGTCTACCCTGTGTGATTGCAGATGTCTTTTGCAGACACCACACTCTCAAAACCACGACTTCATTCTCTCTGCACCCAAGTTCTGCAAGACTAAATGTAACTGAAGAAACTCGGCCCTTGGTTGGAGTGACACAGAGACAGGCCTTTGATCTGCTTTTTGGTAGAAGCTGTTGGTTGGCCATTCTGACTTAGAGGCTGTGAAATCCCCAAAGCATCTCTTTGTGTCTGTCAACAAAACTGTTCCGGAGAAAGGACTATTTTCTGCTGTAAAAACTGATCTCTTAGCATACTAATGTCCTTAAGCTGTGTCAAAGTGGTTAACTTAGCTAAACCTAAGCTGATGTCTTAGAGAAAGGGCTCTTTGATAGGTCTTTTTTCACTTCCCTGTAATCTTACAAATGAGGTTCTGCTGCCAACTCCTGATGGAGATTCTTATGCTATACAGTGCAGACATGAATCTGCTCCAAAAGAGGAAGCTTTATTGGAGCAAAGTCTGCATCTTGTAAACAAAAAGTGTTGCTTTTGCAAACCTTCTTCCCCAAGTTCTTCTTGAGTCTGGCTGTTAACACTGCTCCATACAATAATGAGGACATCCATATTCAGACAGTAGTTTGGCATGCTGAGTGTGGTGTAAACTTTTCTTCTGGAGAACAAGGAACAAGAGAAAATCAGCAAATTGTAACAGTTAAGATCTCAGCTTTGCCCACAATCAACTTGGAGAAAATAAGTTTTGTCAAACTCCACAAAGACCATCTTTAGAAATGCTGGCAATCTCTGTGAAACAGTTTTTTTCCACAGCCATACTAACTACATAGTTATTACAATACAGAGATAATGGTTTTGTTGGTAAAGGAAGTGGCTGTGGCTCCAGTCTGTTGCCAGTAAATAAGCTGATTTTAAAGTATCTAAGGGCTTATATTTCTTAAATGCTTTCAGCAACGCTTTAAAAAAAAAAAAAAAGGCACCTTTATAAAACACTATTTGGTGCAAAACATTAACTTCTTTATTTCAAAATATGATGAGACTTGAGCACCATGTAAATATTTAATATTCCCTTCAGCTAGACCTTGTAGATCCATGTTGCATGCCCTGACAGTATGTTCCTGCTACTACCTGTAGCTAAATATCCTCATTTACTACGTACCAGTAGCTATAGTGTCTACTGGGATTATGGGGTGAGGGACTGGCTGCTACACAGTGCCGGACCCACCACTTCCTGTCTTGCTAATTTTGCACCAGCAGGATGCTCGTGAATAAAAATGGGTATGAAAAACACCTTAGTCATAAACCCAGAGTGGGATTTTATGAGTATGTGATTGACAGGTTTCATGCAAATATCATTGCAAAATGCTGCCTTGATATTACTGTGATAATTCTTTTTGCAACAACCCCTTCTTCCTGCTAACTGCTGTCTCAGTGCCATCTCTGCTTTTCATTGGCCTTATTGGAATGACAGCCGCATCTTCCCTGCATCTTATCTTCTCCTTTACAACCCTCTTTGCGTGCTTAAATCATAGTGTCCCCTCTGAGAGGTTCCTTCTGCTACCCGAGCCCTATTCCTCTAGCCTAGCCTTTGCTTCAGAAGCCTCTCTGCAAAAGTACTTGCTACTCTGGATTGTGTATACTATCCAGCACATGCTGACAATGGAAACTGCAGATACTAATTTGGAAACCAGAAAAGGGAACTGTAAGTGGGTTTGTGCTTTATCCTATAATCTTGATGGTTTAGGAAACAATGTTGGCCACTGGCTAGAATGCTTCATTGGGTTAATCAGCCTAGGTTGTTTATCCAACTAGAGGTATCTGACTGGGCTTATGTTTCCTGAGCATTAAAAAAACTCAAAAATATAGTCCATGAAAATCTCTGAAGAAAAGATGTTTCAAAAAGAGGTCTATATTATTTTGAATACAGTTTAGATAAATGCAATATTTCTAGAACCCCACAATCTGCTGTATGAATCTACTAGTCTCTGTTGCTCTGCTTGAGACTAGCAGACATGCAGTTTTCAAGAGAAAGGTTCGCCATAGAAAAGATGAGCAAACTCATGTCACTGTTTTGTGCTGAGTTTCAAGTCACAGCTTTCTGTTTTAAAAGAGGCAAAGATTTTATTAAAGTGAGTTTCAGTTAATTTGTATAGTGCTATAAAATAATAATAATTATAAAGCTGTAGCAAATGGAGGTAAAATGCTAAGCTATGCTGCATGTAAACAGGATCCATGAGTCAGAGTGTCTAAAATACAACACTGGATTTTCTGTAGTCATCCTAGGAGAAGAATAAGTACTCTTGACTCAAATAAGCTGTTTTATCTTACTGTAACAGTTTTAAAATCTGTATTTCCAACATTGCACATCATTTTCAGGGAAAAAAATCAGAGAGGCACACTCCATTATACTTCTTACTCAGCTCAATCTCTAGATATTTATTTCTTGGCTTACCTGGATTGTCTGCTCAAGTCTTCCAGTGATTTTGCCCTTTAAAATTAGTGTATTCCATTTAACATATCCTATACATTTCCCCAGGGTAATTTTTAAAGATGAATACACTGGCAAGATTCCACTAGTATTTTTCACTTTAGGCTTCAAACTACCTAAACACCTACCAAAGTTAAAAAAAAAAAAAGGAAAAAAGAAAAAGAGAGGCAAAAATTACTTACCATATATCTTACAGAGCAAGTGATGTCTTGTATTATTACAACAGGAGTAATGCTAAACTGATTTGTCAGTCACAAGACTAAGGTCAAAAACACCTCTTCCTGCGTGAAGAAGGATGTATCGGTTTGAAAACTTCTAGCAAAAAAAATATCTGTTTTCATTTTAAAAAAATGAAGGAGCAGTTCTCTGGTTCTCTTTTTCTAAAAATGGGTCATCAGATGTTACTCTGCGAGATGTGCAGAGATGTTGAAATTGTAGAGGATCCTGCAAGGAGCTGAACTCAAAGTTTCACAACTCACAGCTGTAATTCTAGAAAAAGGGGTTTATTTTGTTATTTTATCTTTTTCTTTTAGCTAATGTCTTTGATCAAAAACAGTTTACATGAGGTTCATCCCTTTACATTTTTAATCATTAAATTTCATTTATGTTTTTCTGTCCCTTAACAAAAAGTGGAGCTTTTAAATAAAGTTCATGCTTCTATTCAGAATTACCTGCACTTTCTTTGTCTTGGTCTGAGTTGCAGTCCTTATATTTTGAGAAATTTGACTGATTCTATTTTTCTTTAACCTGGCCTTCTGGACTATGTTTTTTATTTTAATCCCTCTCGTAAGACCATGACTTAGTCTATATCGTGAGTTTGACCTTTTAAAACAGCACTGTTGCTTAGTTTTTGGAATTAAGTTTCAAAAAAGCCTGATAAAATCTGATGTCATGTCTCTTTCCTTGTGTCTGATTCTGGTGGTTTTCAGAGTTAGACTGAAGCTGCACCGTAAGCAGATTTTTAGATCCTTCTTGGACATCAAAGAAACCACACAGGAGGTAGGAAAGATACACAAAAAGCAAGAAAAAGATTGTGTCTTACCAGATACTTGAGAGCCCCTGAGAGAGAAACCCTGAGAAGATAGCCCCTCCTCCCCTTGACATCTCCTTGGAGGATTCTGGAGTATCTCATCCTATCAACCTATTGAAGGCACTAAAGGGTTGTCTTTTCTGCACTCAGTTCTTAGTATCCTTAAAAGATTTTAAAATGCCAAAAGCACAGTGGAGATGTCTTTCTTTGGATGCTGCTATCCCTTAACAGAAGTCAAGGGAATCACAGTTTCTGAGTTACATCTCAGATTTTGGGGAGAGACAGTAAGAAAGCTAAAAGCTCACCCTGTTTCCCTTGTCAACCCTTCTTTGCATGAGGGATTAATCTTTATTCCATAGGACAAATAGATTAGCTGTTCCAATGAGTTCTTTAAAGGCTGGAGTCACAGGGTCAAAACTAATGACCCCATAGAGTATTCTAAGGGTATATTCACACTACCTTGCTCGATGGACTACACTCGACCCTCTACACAGT